AACTTTTTTTGTATTATAATTGTAAATATAATTTTCCATTTTTAATTTCCTTCGAAATATACGAAAAAGTGTTTTTTTTTCAACTTTCTGTCGATTTCTTTATTATCATCACTGTTTTTAAATTAGCTTTTATTAATTTTTTTATTGCGATGTTCAAGTTGTAATTTTTTTTTGCCAAGTTTTTTATTCCTGACAACAGTTTAATTCCAAAAGTTTCAAGTAGCCTTGAGACAACTAAGCCCGTTATAAATTGAGCGAGTAATTAAAATTATAATTTGTTTTCCTCAAATAAGCATTGCACCTCGACGACTTCAGCCTCCTTTTAATTTTTGCATATTTACTTGTTTTCTTAAGCTCAAATAATGCGCACTAATCCTTCTCTTTAATAATCCCTGAAGCCTTTCGTGCTTTGTACTGCTATCAGCTGCGCAGTTTTTCTAGCTACAACTCATATCTCTTTCTGTCTTTGACTTCCATTTTTAATTCCGGTAATAAATTATTTGAGCTTTATTCTTGTTGCCACATCCGCCGACTTCTTCTTTCTTTGGGCGCTAGCTAAGTAATTGATTAATTAAGGTCAAAGTAGCAGCAAGTGCATTAGCGACACTCAACTACAGCTTCAACAGAAATTTTGAATTGTTAATGCAGCGTAAAAGAGTTAGTTAGAAAGGCCGAGCAGTGAACAGAGCGTGCAAAAAAAACCAAGAAACAAAGTCGTGGCGGGAGAATTGAATTTGAAGCGAGCCGTAGGAAAAACTGAATTATAAAAATTTAACTTAAATTACAAAAGTGTGTCTGTTTTGTTACTAGACTAAGTTAATACGTAAAAAAATAAAAAAAACTTCGTTTGTGTTACCACACTCCATGCTAATGAAGAACTGGAATATCTAAAATACGCAGTTGGGACGCTTTGCTTCCAAAATTTTAAAATTTTACAATTTCTTCAAAAATAATATAATTTTGTACAAAAAAAGTTAGAAAACAGTAAAAATAATACTTCTTAACAGTTGAAAAATTCGCTTCCCCCATAACTTGCGTCGAAATCAATTATGCCTAATTAATATCTTAACCAAATGCTTTCCCAAACTTCGCACAAAACAATGGCAACTATGTACGCAAAGTTTTTTTTTTTTTTTTTTTTTGTTGCTTGCCAAAGTTCTATTTTGATTCCCCATTCGAATCGAATGTTACACCAAAAGTTGCTCATACGCACTGTAGCACACGAAATGTACGACTTTTATTCAACGTAGAACATTTATTTTCTGCAATTATTGTGTTATGCTATTGTTTTGCAATATATTTGTATATTTACGCTTAAGTTTCTGAATAAAAAACACCAAAAGAACTTTTAATAGATTTCAGTTGAAATAAGAAAGCCACTTGCTGGCGTGTTTCTATGGCAGCAAGCGCGAAATGTGTTTAAAAATACATGTACATCAACAGAGTGGCAATTCATGGAATTTTCTTGAAAATAATAATGCCAAGAGAGCTTTGAAATTGAAGTAAATTCTATCTGGGTTATTAAACCCTGTTCAGGCGAACACTAACACAAACACAAACATTGACCGACCAAACTCAAAAAAATTTCTTTTTTATAAAGATGTCTTCACAAAAATTAGCCATCAGTTACTAACCGAGGTAGCGCTAAAATTATCGAAGAAATTTTTCTGTTCGGACAACAATAGTATATAGCTGCCAAACAAACTGGTCGATAAAACTCAAGTCTTTGTATGGAAAACTTCTTTATTTGAAAAGGCATCAACACAAAATTGCGGACAAATTATTACGTTAAAATCACTAAAATTAAAACATTTTCATTAATTTAAAAAGCGTAGAAAAGCAGCAACAAAACAGGTAGCAACGCTTCACGCAATTCTAAGTAAAAATAAAAAAAAATTGCAATTCTTGTTTGCACTTACACAAGCCATTTGGCAAGCAATTCATCAAAAATCACGTACGCACCCATGCAGTGCGCCAAAGCGGGCAGCGGCATACGAAAACATTTTAAGAAAAACAAATAAAAGTAAGAATAAAATAATAATAAGCCAAGCAGCGCATATAAATTCTACACATGTAGATATGTGTATACGTATGCCACATACACTTAAGTTTGCGCTATTTAAGCTCCAACTCACTGAGTAATTGTTTATGACAGCCCAAAGCAAACAAGAAAAACAACACAAAAAAACCTAAGCGAAATAAATTTTCCAAAAAAAAAAAACGCCCTCGAACACAATAATACACTCACTACTTTGCACTAAACTCTCACTCGGCCACTACTGCGTAGGAGTAATGTGAAAAAGATGTACCGTTATTGTATGCGCACATGCATACTCATTGCTATTATTATGCTTATGATTATCCTTGGAGATTATCATAATAATATTATCTTATGAGCTTTTTTTGGACTTTGAAATTGCTTTTGAGCTGGCGCAAAGTGGAAGAAACCAAAATTCGTCGAGGGTGCAGCAATTAAGTAGGGAGAATAGTATGGAATTCTATAAATATATATTATATTTGTTTTATTTACTGCTGGCAGTATATATGTGTTGGCTCGCAGCTGGCCAATGCACATATCCTGCACTCACTTTCTGCACACATTTCAAGCGGTTTATTATTGTTGCTTGGTTTGTTGTTGCCTTTAGAGATTTATGCTTTATTGATATTTATTAAATGTGCAAATACGCGAGTGCATGTGTGTGTATGTGTATATATACCATTTGGCTAACATTGTCTGGCATTAGAGTTATTTCACCTTTGTGCGCTCTCACACTATACACATACATTCCAGAGCGTAGAGCTGACAAAGGAAATGTGTCAAGGATATGGCAAAATAATTGCATAGAGCATTCGTCATATCCTTTGTGCGCTTATACGCATAACTACAGTCATATGTATGTATATACAGTCCGTTTAGAGATGCCAGATAGTTACCTTAAAGAACTTCAGTATTTGTGGGATGAAAGCACTTAAAAAATGTATGAGCTAATGTGCGTGATAAAGCCACCTAGCGTATGCAGAAGTTAAAAATTATAATATGTAGTAATATTTAAAAAGGTGATAAAAGTACTTAAAAATCAATAATTTTTCAATTAAATTATTTATTTATTTTTCAGAACCCTCGCCATTGTACGACAACAATCACTATCACGAGGAATGCCTGCGCTGCAATTCGTGTGGTCTAAATTTGACAGGGCCAAATCAGAAGCGAGCTAGACGGTTCAAGGTGAGTGCTCAATATATTTAATAAAAATATACTAACAAGATTATAATACAGATAAATATGTACATGAGAAAAATATATATATTTAGTACTAAAAATTTAAAGCAGAAGTTAAATTATTTTTCAAATTAAGAACCAGATTACACTCTGCATAAATGCATATTGGAGCCTAATACCACATTATGAGCCAAATAAGTAGTACTAAAATGTAGTACTAAAAGCTTTTTAATAGAAGAAAGCGTAATTTTTTATTTTGAACGTAATAAGCATTTTAAGTTTAAAATTAAGTACTTAATTTTTAGTACTAAAATTTTGTGTACAAAAAATGTAATACTAAATTTTATACTTAAAATTAGTTTAGTACTAAAATTATTTAATTAAATTTAATACTAAATTTTATACTTAAAATTAATTTAGTACTAAATTTTGTACTAAAAATTAATTTACTAATTTAGTTAGTACTAAATCACCGCGAATGTATTCACAACAATTTTAAATGCAATCGTGTTTTGGAAAATAAACCTAAATTTAGTTTCTTGTTTCGTAAATTTTGTAAATGCATATCTTCTTTGTTTTGTATTAATAATTTTTAGTACCGAAATTTATGAGAAAATATGATTCATTTAGATATAATAATTAGATTGTAACAAAAATTTTAGTAGTAAATATTCTTAGAATCTTCTTCTTAGTACTAGATGAGAGTATGAAAAATTTAGGACTAAAAATTTTAGTACAAAAAATTTAGTACTAAACTTATTTTATTATTTAATTTAACATAACATAAAATCAAAAAATATTCTAAAACACTTCTTTACTTCTAGTACCAAAAACTTAAATACAACAAAATTACATGAAATTAAGTACTAAAACTTTAGTACAAGATTAATATGCAAACATTAAGTAACAAATTAAATAAATATTCCGTAATTATTGTTTTGAACTCGTGTACTAAAAATTTTAGTACAAAAAAATTAGTACTAATTTTAATCAAATTGTATATTTTCCAATAATAATTAGGTTTGGAACTTAAACTCTAAAAAATATTCTAAAAATATTATATCCACTTGGTGCTAAAACAATTTAGTACTAAAAATTTTAATACAAAAAGTTTAGTACTAATATTTATCAAATTATGTAACTTACAAAAATCATTAAGTTTGTAAAATAAACTTTAAAAAATATTCTACAAATCTTCTTTTCATCTAGTACTAAAAAAAATTTAGTACAAAAATTTTATACTAAAAATTTTAGTATAACTTTTTACACAAGCATGTAATGCTAAATTGGTTAGATATTCAGTAATTATTCGTCTAAACTCGTATACTAGAAACTTTAGTACAAAAATTGTACGTCATTACTTAACTTTCAATGTTCAATAGTTTTGGGACTTAAAACTCATTTTAACTTAGTCTTTAGTAAGATCAAAGTAATCGCACGTACATTTTTACATACGAACTATTTTTCCAAAAACTATGAAATATGCATGGAATTCAACCAACCCCCGATTGGCCACAAATCACTTAATACCAAGTTATGCAAAGTTTCCGCAATCGTCACTCGCACAAATCGGCAGTGGCAGCTGCGCACACAGCTCAAACCACAATAGAACTTGTTACAAAACTATTTACATCCGCAACGGAGCGCGGCATGCGGGCGCACCGAGTTTAGCAAGAATTGCATATGTGTTCTTTCAACACGCGCTTATTCATATATGTATTTACGCCAAAAACACTCGAAAAGTACTCGTTTCGCTATTTTCTAAGCTAAGTAAGCGCTCAACGGGCACGTGCAATTCGATTTTAGTGAGTTTAGTGAGCAGTGCGCGGATGAGCAGCGGGGGAATTGCGGGCATGTACGGAAGAAATCTCAACATTTTCCAAATAAATGCTTATATAACGGTAACTACACATGTGTGTGGATGTGTGGTATTTGTGTGCGACTACAGCAATACGTGGGGCAAGGTGAGGAGGCGAGAATTTCGGCTGGTTTGCGCTGCCACACTTGAATAAATAAATGGCAAAGCCGCATAAAAGTTTTCACCGAGAGCGTACACGAATGGCACACGTTGACACGAGGTGGTGGGAAAAGTTTAAAACAATTTTTGGATTATGTTTTGTAGTTTTCTCCTGCTTTTTTTCGGATTTTCTTGTGCTTACGAGCGGGCACTCACTTACGCGAAGAGTCAGCCGCAAGCGACAAATTCATCATTCACTGGCGGGGTAGAAGTGCTGCTGCGTTTTATTACTTTGGATATAAAAACACACGGAGAGGTTACTTAAGTGAATTGGTTTTATAAATATTTGAACAATTCTTTGAAGTACTAAATTTCTACTGTAGTGGACAAAATGGCTTGAGAATAGATGTCCGAAATTGTGCTTGTGGTGAAGATTTTTCCTAAAAACGTAAATTAAGTAACAAATGAATAATACTAAAAGTGTACTAAAAATTAGTAAAAATATAGTGTACTAAAAAATGAGTACTAAAATTATTTTATTTAAAATTTTCAGGGAAGTAATTTGATTATTATTACGTTAAAGTTTTATCTTATAATTAATAAAAAAAAGTGTACTACAAGTGTAATAAAAAAGTTTTTCAAATTCGCTTAGTTTCCATAAAAATTTTCATTCAAAAAACGTAATAAGCAAATTTCTAAAAGTAGTACCAAAGGTGAACTAAAAATTAGTACATTTATTCTACTTTAAAATTTCATTACAGTATAAATCTATTTTAAATTCAATAATATTAAGTTGAAATCTTGTTTTTGTACCAAAGAAATCTTGTACTAAAAATGTACCAAAAAATTTCTAAATTTCTAAATCAAATTATTATATAAAAAAGTTATATTAGTACTCAAGTGTTTTTTATTCAAAAAAATAATTTAAAAAAAACTAGTACTAAAAGTGTACTAAAACGTGTGTACTAAATTTTATTTTAATTTAAGATTTTTTGACAGTTTAAATTCAAACAAATATGATTACCACCACGTTAAAATTTTGTTTTAGAACTAAAAGCTACTAAAAATGTACTAAAAACTTTTTGAAATTAAAAATCAAACTCTTACATCCAAAAAAAAAATTACTAAATTAATAGTCTCCTCTTTTAATTCAGCTCAAATAATTATCACAATTAACTTTTAGTATTACAAAAATATGAATATAGTACTAAAAAATTATATTTGTACTAAAACTTAAAAAAATCAGAAGTTAACAATTACTCATACAATATCACTCAAACGTCACAATTTTCCCACTTAAAAAATAGTTGTCATTATTAATAATAAACCTGACTGAATATTTTAGAACTAAACATAAAAGCCTTTGTTTAAAAATTTAGAACTAAAATTAGACAATTTTGTTTAAATGCTTTGTACCAGAAACAAGACAAAAGATAATATTTTTGTAATATATTAAAACAATATGTGAAAATATGGCGCTATAAATTGTAAAAAATTAGTACTAAAAGTACTACTAAAATTTGTCAAAACAATTTTGGTACCAAAAAACTTTCTAATTTCTTTATAATTTCAACTAAAATACAACATATTATCACTAGATTATCGAAAAAATAATAAATTATTGAAAACAAATTTAATACTAAGAGGAGTACTAAAATTTGGTACATATTTTTTCTTTAATAATTAAACAAATTAATTGAAATAAAATTATATTCGGCTATTACAGAAATATAATATAATCGGCTACTATATAAATTATTGAATAAATTTAGTACTAAGAAGAGTACTAAAATTTAGTACATATACTTTTTTTTAATAACTAAACTAGTAATTGTGAATACACATCAATTTGCAACTCAAAACATTTTCATACTATACATTTTCATACACATTTGCATATACGACTCTGCGACACATTTCTTCGGAAAAGTCAAAGAAATTACACTTACGTAAATATATTCTAAAGCAATACAACTCAACCAGAATTCCCACAACCACATTTTTGCTTAGATTAAATTCTCGCCCTTTTTACCCCCACAGAACCACATTCTCTGCGACCTGCACTTCGCAGACGTTGCCCTAATGGAGTGTTCCGATTTTATGCAACAGCTGAGAAGCTTCAAGCCACAATCACTCGGTTGCGCCGTTGCGAGACGAAAAAGTTCAACAACGTTAATTTTCCCGTTGCCGCCGCAGGCATGTTCAGGTATGTATACGAACCATCATATTTATATAAATATATACACATACTTGAATATACATATATAGTGATAGGAGTATGCGTTTCAAAGCGTAAGTTACGCGCTAACTTTGCTTGAATTTTTTAAATTAAAATCTTAGACTTGGATATTTAACCCAACCCTTTGCGGGGGAAAGAATTCGCAGCGCCATGTTAGTCGCAAAAGAAAAGCTCTCGAAAAAAGAATTATGAAAGAAATGTTTGAAAAATGCGCCAGACATCTGGTGTTGAGTGCTAAAATTAAATATAAAAAATGTTGACTCAAGGTTTGGGGGCGGGAGACGCGACCGCAGCACAAAGCGAATATTGCTTTGTGAGCGCGGCTAAGAATTCCTGTTATGCGCGGAATTTAATGTAATAAAGTGGGCAACGTTTTTCATTAAAGAATTGCTTACTATATTATATTAAAAAAACAAAATAGAGACGCTTCAAAGCAAACATTTAAATATATAGAACGAAAGAAGGCTATAGTTTTGGCTTCAAAGCGCAAAAAGCCTTTCAGAACTTTAAATGCTTAGGCCATAAGTTTAAGTAGTAAACAATTTAAAGATTTTATAAATGCTGCAACTTTCATTTAAGAATTTTTAAATACACTTAGTACTGCTATTTTTTCTAAAAAAAAAAAAAATAGTGATTACCAAAATTGGGTACGAAAGCATGACGCTAAAATAGTTCCTAAAAGTCACTAGATGTTATATCTAACTAAACTGTTAACACTAAAAACATGGGCAAAATAATAAGTTTAGTACTAAAAATTGTTCTAAAAAAATTAAAATAAAAGTTTGCTTTCAAAGAAAAATGTGTAGTATAGACAAGTAACTTTTTTTAGTACTAAAAACTGTGTACTAAAACTTCAGTACTAAAAGTTTTGAATGGAAAAATTTGATTCAAGGAAAAACATGTGCAAAGTACAAACCACTAACCACATAGTACTAAAAACTGTGTACTAAAACTTAAATACTAAACATTTTAGTACTAAAATGTGTACTAAAAATTTTAAGTACCGAGATGACATTCTAAGAGAAAGAGTTAATACTTTACACTTAAAAAAAAAGTAATAGTCAGCGAAGATTTAAGTGTAATAAAAACTTTAATGTAAAATATTAGTACTAAAATATTCTAGGTGCCTGCTAAAAATTGTAATATTACTTTCTATATATGTATGTATATGCTTTTAACTTAAAAATCTCAAATTCCAATGTTATGTTTCTTTAAACTTCTTGATACCTTGTTCTCTTCCTCAAGCCCTCCCATCCTCAAGCCATTTTTAATGCTTTTTTCTTAGCAGAAATTCCTGTTTAACTTTCGTACCAGTTTGTACATTTCTTATATCTTATTTTCCTGTTCGTCTGGCCACTTCATTACGCCCATTGGCCGGCATTAACTCGCTCTGATTCCCACCCTTTTTTAGTTTTTTATGCGCCATGCGCTTTCCCGTGTTTTCTTTATACTTCTTGTGAACTCAAGCGGTCAGGCATGATTATCGCATCAACGAGCGCCAATGGGTAATAGAAAAATAAGAACGCAGAGGCGAGGAATATATCAAATGCGTATCAAATAAGAAAAACATTTTATTAAAAAGAAATTAAAAAAAAAAATTAAAAAGGAAATGAAAAAAAATGAAAAATATTGTTAAAAAA